TAAAAATAAATAAATATGAATTTTCCATTCTAATACCACATTATAAGTTTGAAAACTTGCCTTAGACGTTACCTTCCATATTTCCCTGGGAGTTAGCAATATTGAACTTAATAGTCTAAATTCTGGACTCTCTTCCACAAATAGGAGAGCCCCATCCCAGGAAAGTAGAATGTTGAAGAAGAGAGGAATTGATGTTTATAGACATACAAGAGTGATTTCCAGCTTGGTAGATTTAAAAATAGGGAGAGGCATTGGCTCCTCTTACAATATGTTTACAAACTGTGCTGAGATTTAGTCTGTTTGGTTCTATTTGCTTGTAACTTGATATCTGCAGGATCTCTTTATTAAGGAACCAGTTTCTTCCTCTGTTAATGTCACTGCTATATGCTCAGGAGCATGGAACAACCGATTGGTTTAAAATAGGGAAAGATGTACGACAAGGCTGTATACTGTCACCCTGCTTATTTAACCTATATGCAGAGTACATCATGAGAAATGCCAGGCTGGAAGAATCACAAGCCGGAATTAAGATTGCAGGGAGAATCATCAACAACCTCAGATATGCAGACGATACCACCCTAATGGCAGAAAGTGAAGAAGAACTAAAGAGCCTCTTGATGAGGGTGAAAGAGGAGAGTTAAGATTGCAGGGAGAATCATCAACAACCTCAGATATGCAGACGATACCACCCTAATGGCAGAAAGTGAAGAAGAACTAAAGAGCCTCTTGATGAGGGTGAAAGAGGAGAGTGCGAAAGCTGGCTTGAAACTCAACATTAAAAAAACTAAGATCATGGCATCTGGACCCATCAGTTCCTGGCAAATCGAAGGGGTAGAAATGGAAGCAGTAACAGACTTCATTTATTTGGGCTCCAAGATCACCGCAGATGGAGACTGCAGCCATGAAATTAAAAGACGCTTGCTCCTTGGGAGGAAAGCTATGGCAAGCCTAGATAGCATATTAAAAAGCAGAGACGTCACCTTGCCGACAAAGATCCGCATAGTCAAAGCTATGGTTTTTCCAGTAGTAATGTATGGCTGTGAGAGCTGGACCATAAAGGGAAGGCCTGGCGCAATATGGTTCATCGGGTCACGAAGAGTCGGACACGACTTAACGACTAAACTACAACAAGCTTTATTCATAAATTAAATTGGATTTACCTCTTAATTCATGAACTGGCAAGCACTTTCCTTATCATAGCTGCAAAAAAATCAGTAAATCTAGAAACATTAGAAGACTTTATTCAGCTCTGAGTAGCAATCTGCTTTTTGAAACACTGGCATTAATATTCTGTGTTTTGCATTTTAAACTGTATTGTTAACCAATATTTTATATCGGTATGCCACATTTTTCTGTCTTACTTTGACATTTGGTTTAAAACAATGATTGCTTGACTGATTGCTTTAATAACCTCAAGTTGACATTTGCTGGTTCAAAGAACATGAAAATATGTCCCAAATATGCTAATGCATGGACAGTACTATTCCTGCATTTAATTAAATGTAAAAGAAAACTAATCTTTTCAGTGATTACAAGCTAGTAAGTATAAAGAATTTTCAGGCACTACTCAGCAATGGACTTTCTAGATCAAACATGAAAATCTGCTGAAGCCATATAAAACTGACAGAGTAAGGATCCATAGAGATATAGGCAGATTAAATGTATATAGCTTTGAAATATAACGAGCTTTCAGGGCATTTTACATGGCAGTGGTAGATTAAATGGGAGAAATGTAAATGTCCTTTCACCTGACAGTTTTGAGGGATTTCTTTGTTTATCAGACAGTTTCTCTCTCTCTTTCTCTGTTTTTGAGGGTCTTGTTTCTTCGTTTCTCTTTGAAATGGAATGATAGTATCAGAGTAGTGACTATCTCATAATTTCTATATATAATAGAAATTATATTTCTATTCTTATGGAATCAGAATGTGTTATGCCATCATTTTAATTTTAACCACCATCTTCACCATTGCATCAAGAATAAAAATCTTCCATTTCAGAACAGAAAACCTTTTACCATCGTCTCTGACTGATCTGTATTTTCCCAGCAGGTCATATTCTGCTAAAGTAAGAATTACATTGGCTCACAACACTTACTTAAAGGGTACTTTCTAATCAACTTGCATTGTAGTGATTAATAATAGCTGTGTGCAAAACTGGAGTCCTACTGAAAATCTTTTAGCAAAGCAATTGCATATTTAATCAGAGCGCACAAAAGTATCTGGGATGATTCTGATATGACTGAAGTCATGTGAGGACTTTTTTTTTTAAAAAAGAGTATTGTTACATCTTTCACAGAAAAGATCATAAAGTTCTTAACTCAAAGCCCACAACATTCAAAGATTCTCTGCTTTTGATATATAATATATGGAATGTATAGGACAGCCTAATCTATAACTCCCTGTTTAATATATGCATGTTCTAACACACTGCTGTGCGATGGAGCTTATAAGAAAAAAAGGTAGTGAGTTTGTCTGGATTATATAATTAAAAGAACAAAGAGGCCATTGCATTAGTCTAATAAATAACTTTTTCATCCTAATGGTCAATTACATGTAATTGACAAATCTAAAGGAGATGCCTTTTACTCTTGGAAAAGTAGCTTCCCTTGATGTTTTGAAGCTTACCCGAGGCATATAATCTGCTCCTGGCTAATTAGAGCAGCTCACTAAGTCTTCTTTTCCATTCTTGTTTTTGATTTGATTTGCAAATCGACATAATGCTTCACTCTAATTTGCATAATAAAGTAATGGCAACAGCCATATTGCACAAACTACCTATTTCAAATGATTCCATTAATAATGTTTTCTTAATTATTACACTATTCATCATAGTATTTTCCCCCTCTCTTGCAAATGAGGGGAATTCATTAAAAAAATAAAGGTTACATCAAACAAGTAGAGTTAAGGAAGGACCAGAGGATCTCATGAAAATATAAATATTAATTTGTCTAAATTTGGATTAAAACTTTAACTCACATACAAGATGAACATGTTTAAAATAATATTCTCTGCATTACTATGAATTTTATTTACCACAGTCAAAAACTGCTACCATGGAAAGATACCGTCTCTTGCATGCCTTCTCAGCAGTAGCCCCTTCCCTTGGGACATTCTTCCTTTGGAGCTCAGGATGGTCCCAACCTTGCTAGCCTTTTGTAAGGCTTTAAAACCTGGCTATGTGCCTGAGCCTGGGGTCCCAAAAGTGTTAGAGGTCCCATTACCTGATTACTGTAAGAAGCTGCAAGGCTCAATTCCCAATGAAAGCAACTCCCATTGAAACAGTTTAAGGCAGGGTTCCTCAACCTTGGCAACTTCAAGACAGGTGGACTTCAACTTCCAGAATTCCCCAGCCAGCAAGGGTTGTCCACCTGTCTTAAAGTTGCCAAGGTTGAGGTTGAGGAACCCTGGTTTAAGGTTCAAAGAATTCATTTATTGAAGACTAGTGTACAGTTCTAGAGCATTGCTGAGACTAAAAGCCTGCATGCACCAAACTCAATTTTACCCCCTTTCCCTTTCACCTCCCCCCTTCTATCCCATAGTCCTTCTTGCACATACCACTGGGTCTCTCCTGGTCTCACGCTGGTACGACCTTGGGCATTCCTAAGAAACAGATAATAGTCCATGTGCGCCTAATGGTTCACCTTCTAGCTCTTTCTCACCTCCTCCCTTTCTCTTGTAATGGCAGAAATGAAGCAAGCAAACTAGCAGGTTGGTCTAATTGGTTGCTAGGCTTCCAGCAGTTGCACTGTTAATTCTTATGTAGTTATTATAATAATTCTTGGCTGCCTATATGTATAATTTGTAATGGTTTTAATGGTTTTAATGATTGAAATTGTTCACCATCCAGAGTCACTTGGATTGAGATGGGGGGCTATAGAAATTGCATAAATAAATAAATAAATACATACATACATACATACA